TCATTAAGTTGGTCTTCGGCCTCTGATATCCTTTCTTCTGCTTGATCAATTCGGCTGTTAAAATTTGTGCATAGTTCGCGAAGTTCTCATGTTGTATTTTTCAGCTCCATTAATTCACTTATATTCCTCTCTAAATTGTGTGTTATTGTTAACATTTCATCAAACCTTTTTTCAAAGTTCTTAGTTTCTTTGCATTGGGTTAGAACAAGTTCTTTTAATTCCCAGAAGTTTCTTATCATCCACTTTTTAAAGTCAGCTTCTGCTAATGGAACACAGTCTTTCTCCATCAGGCCTTGTTCCGTTGCTGATGAGGAACTGTGATCCCCTGTAGAGGGAGAGGCGTTCTGATTTTGGGTATTCTCAGGCTTTTTGGGCTGGTTTCTTCCCTTCATTATAGATTTATCCATCTGCGGTCTTTATAATTACCGTCTTTATAGTTGGGTTTCTGAATGGACGTCCAACTTGTTGATTCCCGGCGCTAGAATCTGAGCAACCCACTGCGCCGGCCAAAACAGCGGTGTTAAGATTGATGGTGCTTTTCTGACTCTGCACCAAGAACCGCCGCTCCAAGGCAGCGGCAAAACCGCCTCACCGGCCTCAAGAGTTGCGCTGGCGACACGTGGGGCTCCTCCGCTGGGAATCTCCTGGTGTGTGAGCAACAAAAATTGATCTGAAAGTGCGCATCCTCTGGTTCTCTGCTCTTTCAGTGGGAACTGCAATCCCGAGCTGCTAGTGATCAGCCATCTCATCTCCTTCCAGGAGAGAGATCCGCAACACTTCTTATCTGGGGGCTGGAGGCTTCAAAGGGTTTCTAATGGAAGGATGCTGTAAGCCAGTGCAGTGGGAGCTGACAGACGTGTGCTCTTCTCTAAGATATTTATGGGAGGATGATTTGAGCCAGCACAGAAGCGAGAAAAGACTGACAGGGTGCACAGCCGCCACGACTGGTCACACCAGAGGGGTTCTTCTCCCTCGGTTACTTCCAGGATCTCAGGCCTGAGGCCGACTTTCCACAGGAACTGGATGCAAGGTGCTACAACTCCTTTATCAGGAGGAGAGGCTCCTGCTCCAAGCCTGCCATACGGCGTTTGCCCTTTCAGGCAGGGACGCCACCGCCTGGGTCTTTGGTTCTCGTCCTGGTCTGGCTGTTCTCCCATGTACTGCTTCTGTTCTGTGACTGCTCCAGGCATTCCTCCTAGTACAAACTACTATACGGTTGTATGGAAGGAGTCTATAAATCAGCACTAAATGTGTCAGTACAGCTCCGACTACGATACCTGTATGATTAAATAGAAAGATTACATGGAACTAAGTATAATTGTATATATAAGCTAGATATAAGTAAGCAGTGAGTTATGCTTCAGGCACTAATTGTGCATGGGGTGCACAGTTCTCCTTCCTCCGTGCCCATGGGGGGTGCTACCACAACGCCGACCTGAGTGTGTTTATGAAAATGGATGTGGGGACCAGCTGCAGACACACGGACTACTCAGACACTCGGACACACAGACACACGGACAACCCAGACACACAGACAACTCAGACACACACACCCGGACACAACGGACGACTCAGAAATTCGGACACGCAGACGCACGGATGACTCAGATGGACACACTCGGACACATGGACAACTCAGACGCACTGATGACTCGGACGCACAGACAACTGTGTGCTGTGCCACCACCCTGTGGCACTCTGGGAGTTTCCTGTGGTTTGGGCACCAGGAGCTGGGAGTCCCCTGCACCCCCTGGGCACTGCCTCCTGGGCCCAGGCCTGCCTCTGGTGGCTGCCCAGGTGCTCACCGGTCATCACCCCAACAGCGCAGAGTGGTCTTGGGAGCCTCCCCGTATCATTGCCAAGAACTGGCTCTGGGCTGTTTCCATGCAGCCAGCGACTTTGACCAAAGCGGCCCCCGGCGTGCTGACCCCTTGGAGGCCTGCAGGGCCCGTCCATGCTCTGCCAGGCGGTGCCCAGCCCAGCCCTCGAGCCCTGCTGCTTTATCCCACCCCACCTCTGCCACCCCACCAAGCCTCCAGTGTCCTGCCCGGCCCTACGGACAGCAGTGTCCTCCTGTGTCCAGAAGCCGCCTCCCCTTCAGCCTCCTCAGGCCTTGTGATCCTTCTGCGGTCCCCAGCACATGGGGCACATGCCCACCCTGGGGCCTTTTCACGACTGTGTCCTGCCCACACATCCTCCCCAGGCCCCAGTCCTCACCTCCCTCAGGCCGTTTCTCAGGCCCCCGGCCCCATCGCTGCAGGGCAGACGCCCTGTTGTGTATCAGCTCCCTGCTGTGGTTACGGCCATAGGGGTGGCCCCTGCTACTGCCAGAGTCCGGCGCGGGGCCAGTGTGCACTCAGACACACTGCTCCGAGAGGCCAGGGCGCCTGTGTCTGGGTGCAGGGGTGGCGGTGGGCAACCACGTCAGGCACTGTGGACCCTGACCTGCAGCCCACGTTCGAGCTGCAGAGATGCCCACTGAGGGCTTTTGAGCAAGAAGCGGCAACGCTGGCCCCTGGGGATGCCGTCAGGGAAACAGGCCCCCTCAAACCCGTAGCAGAGAACCGGCAGGGCGGGGGGCTGGAGGACACTGGGCAGCTCCAGCTGGGTCCTGCTCCGTGCCCAGCACTGCTGCTTAGGAAACTGAAGCAGCCCAGGACTAAGGGAGGAAAAGTCGTTTGGGAAATGCTCCCTTTTTTTCACATGTTATCAGGAAACATTTCTTATTGGCAAATAATACAGGTACTTGATGAATGAAGGGGGCGTCCTGTCCCCACAGCCCTTCTGTGTGCACGACCCCCCTGCCTGCCGGGACAGCCCTGTCCCTCCCTTTTGCTCCTCAGCAGTCTCCTCTAGCCGGTGGCCTGGCTGTGGAAGCTGCTGTGGCCCAGCGTTCAGACAGCCGCAGCCCTCACCCATGTCCAGCCTTGCGTGCGAAGGATTTGTCTGTTTTTGTGACATCCTAGTAGATGTCACATTAGTAGAATGTGTGTGGGCATTTCTTTATAAGTTCCCAAAAACCTCTGAGGGTTTTTTCCATGATTCCGTTCCCAGTTCAGCTTTTGTTGTTGGTGTTCTTGACCGCCCTGGGCCTGCAGTGGAGAGCGGGGGTTGCACCGGCAGCCTCCATCCGAGGCCCAGGCCCCCTGCCCTGCATCTTCCTGCCAAGAGCCCGCCCTGGGCCCCCAGTGGAGAGCGGGGGGTGCACCGGCAGCCTCCATCCGAGGCCCAGGCCCCCAGCCCTGCATCTTCCTGCCAAGCAGCACCTGGATTCGGAGGTGGAGGCCTAAATAGGCAGAAACAGGTTGATTCCAGCTTGAACGGCTGGAGGGTCCTGAGGGCAGGGTCCGTGCGGTGCCAGTGTTGATCTGCTGGGGTATGTTGCCCCCAGGAGGCAGGGCACCGCGAAAGCAAGGCCACGCTGGGGGCATTTCTGGGCTTGGGAGCCTTGGCTCTCACAGGGGGAAGGTGGCTGCTGGGTGCCCTGCGATCGGCCCATAAGCTGGGCTGTTGTGCTCAGTCAGCAGGGAGATGGGGGCCTTGGAGGGTGGCTGCATTTTTCACCAGCTGCACCCACCCAGCCCCATGCCTGGCTCCAGGCTTCGCAGGGAGCAGAGCGGACATGATGCCCTCCCCTCAAGCCTGGTGAATGGTGGCTCCACCAGGCTGGGCTCTGCTTATAGCTGAATCTCAGCCTTGAGCAAGCCGGGCCTGGCACAGGAGCACACACCTAAGGGGACTGCCAGTGAGCAGGTGAACGAGTGTTTGAGGGTGGGCTGGAGAGTGGGTGAGGAATGAGGGGGAAAGTGGGTTAGAGTGAGTGAGCCAGTGAGTGGGCTGGAGAGCCGGGGAGTGAGAGAGTGAATGAATGAGTGGGGTAGAGAGCGGGGGAGGGAATGAATGAATGAGTGGGACTGGGTTAGAGAGTGGGGGAGGGAATGAATGAATGAGTGGGTTAGAGAGCGAGGGAGGGAATGAATGAGTGGGTGGGACTGGGTTAGAGAGCGGGGGAGGGAATGAATGAGTGGGAGTGGGTTAGAGAGCGGGGGAGGGAATGAATGAATGAGTGGGCTGGAGAGTGAGGGAGGGAATGAATGAATGAGTGGAAGTGGGTTGGAGAGTGAGGGGGGGTGAGTGGGCGAATGCCGCGGTCTTTGGTGCCGCTGTAACAGTGTCTGAGCCCGGGGAATTTCCAGGGAGCACAGGTCTCTCTGCCCTGGTGGCCGGGAGTCCCAGGTCATGGTGCCAGCAGGCTTGGTGTCTGGCGATGCCAGATCTCTGCTTCCAAGGTGGCGCCCAAACACTCCAATCCCCGGAGGAGAGGGAGGGAGGCCGCCTGCCCCGAGCGGCAGAAGGCAGGGAGGAATCCAGGCCCACGCCCTCTTTACAGCTGCAGGAGTCGTCTGTGAGGGTGGGCTCCCGTCCGGCCCCACCTCCCACTCTGTTGCTCTGGGGAATGAGTTTCTCGCGGGGAATCGGGGACGCATTCAGACCCTATTGTGGGATAGTGGGAGGGCGTGGCCATGTCGCTGCCACATAGCCATGAGTGAGGGGAGCTAAGGGCTTTTGCTGTCCTCGCCCGTGTGTGTTGTGGCATTCTGCCCTCCCCGGCGTAGACGCCTCACCAAGGCCTGGTACGCAGCAGCCAGAAGTGAGCCTTGCACCACGGCCCAGGCCTGCCTGCCTGGCTTCCTCCTGCAAGCAGCACCTGAGATTCTGAAGTCGCTGCCTGGATAGACAGAAACGGGCCAGCAGCAGGCTCCTGACAGACGGGTCTGTGGGGTGCCCGCGTGGGCAGGTGCCGTGGCCAGGTCCCACACCTTCATGGTCAGGGTTCCAGGACACCGTCAGACAGCTTGTTTGGCCGGTTATGTTGGTGCCCCTCTGAACAAGGACCCCCAGGGTTGGGGGAGGCCTCGCATGAGTACCTGCGGGTCCCGCTCCGTCCCATGTGTGGCCAGCATGGCCCACACTTCTGGCATTTTTTAGCTTGACGACACTTTTTGACTTTGGGTATTTCCTATATTTTGTGCTGTAAGAAAAATCACTTAGCATTCAAATGCTGGGCAGATTGAAATGCTGAGTTTCTTACTATTTCATTTTGTGATTCAAGTGCGTGCAAAATACTGGATCTGGTGGGGGTGATGCCCACGTGGAGCTGACTCTTCTCACGTTGTTTTTCCAAGCTGGAGAAGAAGCAGGCGCTCCCTCCGTTCCAGCCACAGATCACGGACGACTACGGTCTGGACAATTTTGACACCCAGTTCACCAGCGAGCCCGTGCAGCTGACCCCGGACGACGAGTAAGGCCCACTGGGGGCGGGGAAGCGGGGACCCTGGAGCACCCCTCGGGCAGCCCCATGGAGGGGCCGCACCTTGGGCAGCTGTTGACCCAGCCCGCCCTTGACGCACACCCTCCTGGCGTCATCTCCCCAGTGGGCGTGGGGGAGGAATCTTAGGTGAATGTGACTCTGCTCCCCCGAGGGAATGAACACACGGTCACCCCCTGCCGTCCCCCCACCCTTCCTGCCCACAGGGATACCATAAAGAGGATTGACCAGTCGGAGTTCGAAGGCTTCGAGTATATCAACCCGCTGCTGCTGTCCACGGAGGAGTCCGTGTGAGGCTGCGTGCGTCTCTGTTGTGGACACGCGGGATTGACCCTTTAACTGTATCCTTCACCACCGCATATGCATGCCAGGCTGGGCACGGCTCCGAGGGCAGCTGGGGACGGACGCTCGCGCCGAGACTGCGGAGGAAGTCGCAGGCACTGCTGGAGCGGAATGGCCCCTCGTGCCTGGGCCCGGCAGGCCAGCTCCGCGCCGGAGGAACTTGCTGCTGCGCCCGCGTCGCGGCGGACCGCGGGACCCTGCTGAGGGGCTGTCGCGCAGTTCCGGAGGTGCACATCTTCCGTGGAAACACAGCTCCGTGCACTGACCTGCTCCGCCAGGAAAGCGAGCGTGTAGCGTCCCGAGGAATAAAATGTTCCGATGATGTCGAAGCTCCTCTGATGCCTTTTTTCCGTGAGTGGCGCCTGCCCCACGCTCAGACGAAACCCACATGTAGGGGGGCAGTTTAGGAGCCAGCAGGACATGGTGGGGCGGGGGTCTAAGTGCCTGTGGGGACCCGCTGCGGCGAAGAATTGTACAAACTCTGCCGTGTCTTATGTTCCGGTAAGTTCCTGTCGTCTTCCCGCAGCGCGTGGGCCCAGCCGCTGGGGCCTGAGGGTGAAGTGACACCTTGAGCAGAGGGCGGCTGGACCAGCCAGCTCACGGGACCCATGCGGGAACCAGATTGTGGCAGTTCTAATACGTGGCTCACCAAAGCACAGTAAACCAAAAGATGAAAGGAAAACTAAAACTTAAATCCGCATTGCTGACACTCAGCAGTGCCTACGTGATGCCTCGGGCGACGCTTCTGAGTTTTGGAAAATATTCTTGCCTGTCGCACGGTACTCAGAATTAGAGAAAACTAAAAGTTGTCCCTGTGATGGACCCCAGCCTTAAAGCTGAACAATGACCCTACAGACACCCAGAAACATGCATTTCCCCGCGGAGCGGCCTCCTGCTTCCAGGATGGCCCCCACGCTCCCCGTGTTCCCGCTCCTCAGGTGAAGGGACAGCTGCCCAGAGCTGAGGCTTCTAGAGGCAGGTCTGCCAGACGCCAGGTGCCAGGTGTGGCTGAGCCGTCTTCTGGGCTCCCTGGGAGAGGGGGTCACAGCACCTCGTGCCTCTAAGTGAGGCCTGGTGCACAGGTGTGGGAATTGCCATGTACCCCTCAGCCAGGTGCAGAGACCCCAGGCCTCCGTGACTCGGGGCCACCCCATCCCATGGTGCGGCTGGTGGCTTGGGGAGGAGAGGATGGGGAAAATCTCAAGTCAGAGGTTGGTGCCGCGCCTCTAGGCCACACCCAGCAGGTGAGCCTGGCCGCCCCCGACACTCAGGTTTCTCAGGGTGCTGCCAATGCCTGCACTGAGCACAGCATCGTGGATTCTTACCTGGGCCCCAGGTGCTAGGGCAAAAATGCCAGCGCTGGGCGTACTGCCGGCCCCTTGCCGTCCCCTTCCCGTCCCCACGGCCCGAGACCTTGGCACCCCGCCCTCCGCCAGCTCGGGCTTCTGGGTGGAACGTGGAGATGCGTTTCGGCCGCCCTCCCAACCTTAGCCGGTGGGACTTAACTCCAAAGACGGAGAGTAAGAAACCCCAGGGCAGAGCCAGGAGCCCTGGGGACGTGGGTCTCACACAGGTGTCCCAAGCCAGCGTGGGATGTCCAGGTAGCAGGGCCAGGCCTGTGGCCGCTGCAGTCACACCTGCCGGAGGAGTGGGGCTGCCGGGACCCCACCCTGAGTGGGAGAGACCCCAGTGTGTCCCAGAAGTGCTTAACAAGCAACTCGCCTTCCGTGAGCCTCCTCGATTTGTGAACCATGAGGCCCGTACCCAAATCCTGCCGTGCTGCCGACAGCATGCAGGTTAGCAGGTGGGCTGCGCTTGTACAAAATGTGTGAATAATGCTGTGCCCGTCACAGGGAGACTTTTATATTCAGTCATTTGTTTTACAAATTAAAGTGAAGGATGTGCGGAAGTGTGGTTTGAAGAATCCTGGTATTTGCCAGTGGCTCCGGTCACAAGGGTGTGTCTTTTGGAAGTGGTTCCTGAAAACTCTGGGGACTCGGGGGCTGCACGGTGGGCCTGCGTGGGCACGGTGTGGGGCGGCTGCCTGTGGAGCCGTGGCTGGTCGGCTCCTGTGGGTGACACTCCCCCTGAATGTCATTTGAATGACCTCAAGGTCATTCAAAGTCTTGCACATCCTTTAAAGTCTTTAATGAAGATGCTTATATTATTTTACTTAAAAGTAGGTGTTTCGGCCGGACGTGGTGGCTCACACCTGTAATCCAAGCACTTTGGAGGCCAAGGCAGGGAGATCACCTGAGGTCAGGAGTTCAAGACCAGCCTGACCAACATGGTAAAACCTCGTCTTAAATAAATAAATAATTTAAAAAAAAAAAGGGGGGGTAGGTGTTTCCAAGAAGC